GGTTTAATGAACGCATATCAGTTGGTGCATAACCCTGGAGTATGACTCAAGGAGTGTTTACTCTAATTCCCAAACCTAAAAAAAGATTTGCGTTTAATTGACAGCTGGTGTCCGTCTTATCAAATAATGATTACAAAATTTTGGCTCTTGACTTTGGACAGAAAATCACATTGGTATTATAACCAATAACTGATGAAGAGCAACCTGGCTTTTTACCTACCAAACATATTTCCAGTAATATCAGACTGCCTTGGATCTATTGGATTACTCATACTTCCAGATAATGGCTATATTCTGTTTTTAAATTTTTAGATAGGCCTTTGACACAGGTATACACCAGTTTTTACACCATTTATTTAAAAAGCATGGTTTTGGAGACTTTTTTTGCAACGCGGGTGTTATGTAACAATGCCAACTGCTGTATTACAGTTAATATGATGTGTAATTTGGCACCAGACATCATAATTTCATTCAATTTGATTTCATCATAACTTTTTCTTCTTGTTGCTCAGCTGCTGTGGTCTCATATAAAATCTAGCAACTTACAGGGCATTTATATCACTAAAATGACAATTTTCATTAGTCAGCTTGCTAATAACACAACATTGTTTTTGTTTTTTTGTTATTTTAAATATAACTCACAGATTTCTTTTGTTAAAATCATTGTCTAAAGCTTCTGGTCTTTTTCTTAAGCTTAAAAAAATGTGATTTAGGACGAAGGATTGTAATACTGACTCTATCTCACATATCCCTGTGAAAAACTTAATATTGAACTTAATGAATCACAGCAATGTTTCAATAACTTCAATCCCATAATAGAAAAAGTTTTAAAAGAAGAAGAAGAAGAAGATTAAACTCATGGTTTCTACAAGATTTGTCATTAAAAGGACGAATTCTGCTTTCAAAGGCTGAATCTCAAGACTAACATTCATCGCAAAATCTCTGCATGTTGACCCTTGTATATGTAAAACTACAGATAGAGCTCTGTTAGATTTTGGATGGAAGAACCAAATTCATTTTCTGAAAAAGGCTGATAACTTAAAGATTCCAACTTCCTTATGTAAATGGGGCCTTAATTTTTTGGGTCTGCAATTACAAAATTTTAACTTAAATATCTCTTAAATATATGCTATTTTACTGAGAAATATTTATGATTGAGGGTATAAAGGGGACACTTACAAGTAAGAGTCAGCTTGATCCCTCTGAGCTCTATCCTGGCCATTTGTGGCCACTTCACTTTTGAAAGTTTTTTCAACCATTTTTGTTCTGTTAATGCAAATGGAATGAAACTTTCCAAAGGTGTGTATTTTTTTCAGATTTTTTACTTTTCAACATCAGCTCCTTAATAATATCAATAATATTCACTATACACCAAATGGTTCCTCTTGACTCTATCGTGGCCATTTGTGGCCAATTGAAACCCATTATAACCACCTTTTTTGATTCCTTGTTATTGACAGAACTATATCATGCGATTTAGGTAAAATTGCTTTCATTCTAAACTCAACACATGAAAATTATAGTTTTTAATGTTTTTTACCAAATTACATCATTTACCCATTTTTGGCTAAGCAAGCAATTTCATGTAATATTCTGAGTTTCTAGTAGCGGCCTTTGATGGCCTACCACACTCCAATGGACCAAAATAATGAAACAATTTTGACACAGGTTTGATCTTAAGGATCTAATAGTTTGTGTTTGTGCATGACATTGCAGCACAAACATGTATTTGCAAGATAGACTGGAATAAATAATGACACATCAAACATTACATAGGCTGCAGTGAATTTCTGTGGATGCAGGCTATTGAGCTTTGAGGTCCCCAGTCAAATTTAGCTTTGAAGCACCTGTTAAAAGCACTTTTACTCTTGTATTTTTCATAAAAAGATACCATACCCAAAATATTAACTTTAGAAACAAAAACAAAAACAAAAACAAAACCCAATCACAGGACATTTTGCAGAGTTCAAACCTGCAGCTGCAGCGCAAACAACAACAAACACTGTTTGTAAACGTGTCCTGGAGTTTATGCAGGTGCAGACAGAGCTACTGCTGTAAGTAAGCCTAACAGCTTCCAGATCATTTATTCTGGCAATATGGCAAGAAGGTCATCACTACTTCAAGCACTGTCTGTATGATCTGGTCAGAGAGCAAGGACAGCAAGCTGCCCTTGAAGAAAAGACATCAGCCCAAGATGAAGTAAGTTCCTCTCCAGAAGATGAGGGGACAATCTCCAAAGAGGCTGACAGCATCACCACTGATGTTGAGTACTAGCCATTGCCTGGATCCTCTTCTTTGGGGGAGGATTGGGATTGGGGGCATGGAGGTGGAGGCCGAGCAGCTGATGGAAAAAAACATAGGAGCATTTTCTGAGACCGAGGAGCCGGTGACTGAGTGGATCCCTCATGAAAGGAAAACGATGTGGGTCCCACTACTGAAGAGAGACTGCTCTACAATCCAGTACCCACTGGTATCAAACCAGGGCTCACCCTGTATGCAGTTTCCTGCATTAGCAGCCTGAGATCTACTTTTGACTTTTTTATAACAAAGGAGATCTTTTAGCTCCTGTGCACCCTTACAAACCTGCACGGGAGGCCAAGGTGTGAGGATTGGACGATTATAGGTGAAGTAGAGATAAAGCCTACACCAGAATAAAGCAATACATAGCATGTTGGATGACAACGCTGGAAGTTCTCAGGAAGTAAAAAAAAGACATGGGGTTCAGACTCCAACTGACGGAGGAGCTCCGAGGACAACGTCTTTCCTTCGGTCACCTTGGCAGAGGAACCCCTCAGATGAAAACTGGCACAGGGGAAACAACCCAGAGCTTCCTCCCCAGCTCCTCCAGTTGCAACAGAGGAAGATTTTGTTGTCTGTCTTTGGCTTCACCAAAACTACCACGGCGATATCCCACATGCCAAAGCAACGGAGGAATGTGCTTCTTTTGACAGCAACACACAAGGAACCAGCAGTCAGTGATGGGGAATAAAGGATGCGTGAAAGCAAGAAGCAATCCTGGACTACAATAGGCACAAATATTGCTTGGATAACTTGGAGAGGATGTTGGCACTTCGAGTTGTAGAAGGAAAACTAACTGATGGCTGATGGCTTTTTCTCCAATCTCCTGGATGTCTTGGGATATGATGCCTTTGTCCCGCCGGAAACAACTTTACTGAAGTGGGGGAGTCCTCTACAACCTACAAATGAAGAGTGATCCTGGGAGAGCTGGGACACATGCTGGTGACCTCAACAACTGCAAGACACCCTTCTCCTTAATTCTCAGCCACTTCTGCCATTGATCTCAAGATACAGTAGTCTGAACCAGAGTGTGACCCACACCCCACCAACGAAATGAGAAGAAGGTGCAAAAGGCGCACCTCCAGGATTGGAACAGCAGCCCTTTGCACCAGGTGTAGAAAGTGTGCCTACAAAAACCACTCGAATGTGGTTAGCAAATCTTGCTGCTAATGAGGATGCACACAGAAGCACACACTGGAATATACATTTTGATCATTTTATTGGTCATTTCAGTGGTTATTTGGTCATTAAATTGCCTTTCTGGCCACTAACACACCATTTGTGATTTTCTTTTTGGCCATTCGTTCAACCCCCACCCCCCACCCCCTAAAAAAAAGTAAAAATAAATCATTGTTACTGTTACTGACCTGCAATGATGATAAAAAGAAATATTGGGTTTCATCATTCATATGCTAAAAATGTGAACTTTCTTACTATTGCTATACTTTATTACTATTTTTACTATAATAATACATAATCTGACTGGTATTCAAAGGGTATAATATCTGAATTTGAATTATATTTTGGTTTTCATGACTAGGACTGGTGCTAATTTAAAAAATCAAGTCAACGAAAGTAGAAAAATGTTTTAATATATATTAATTTTATAGTATTTTGTAAACATAAACAGGGGGTGGCCATATTTGGCCACGAACAAGCTGAGAGGGAGTTTTTTTGTTTTTCTGTCACTGCACAAAAAAACGAAGATGCATAAAACTCATTGATACCTTTAATTATTGCTACACATCTAACCTCCATCATGATTAGAAAATAATTCAGTTTGCATGTATTATTTAGAAAAAAAATGGGGATTTTATGCTTTTATCCCTATTTAAATAATTAAAATTATGTGATTTAACTGGTATTTAAAGGGTTAAAATTCTGGATTTGATTAAAATTTTGGTCTTGATGAACAGCACTGATGCAAATCAAAAAATCAAGTCAAAAAAAGTGGAGGGGGAGGGAGTTTTTATGTTTTTGCTCTCCCTGCACAAAAATAACAATGCATTATAATCAATGTTGATGTGAATCAATTACATGGACCAGACTCTACTATTAACAATACAAGAAATCTCAGTAGCAATGCAATTATATAAAATTGTGAGATTTGAGGTTGTCTTCCAGCTAGTGCAGTGGACAAACTGGTGTTTAAAGGGTTATTTAAATTTAAAAATTAATAATTCTTTTATATTTATGAAAAGAACTGAAGTTAGTTAAAAGCTTTATGCAGAAAAAATGGCAAAAAAACATAAAATAATAAAAATTACAGACCTAATCTTTTGGTGGCCACTTTTGGCCACGAACAAGCTGAAAGGGTGGTGATTTTGAACAAGCCCAGAGGGTTTAAAGTATTTGTGTTCAGCTGAGGACTCCCCGCACCTCTGTGGGTTTTACTTTCCTCCCACAGTCCACAAACACGCTTGTTAGGGTAACTGTTAACTCTAGATTGGCTGTGGGTGTGCATACAACAGTGTGTGGCTCTCCCTAAGTTAGCCACATTGCCAGTTTAACTCAAATGTGGAGCAGGTATCTCAAACAACAGTGACCTCTACAGGAAGTCACAGTTACAGCACCCAATAATGCCCTACTCTAGATATAAACTTTTAACTAAATAGTAACTCATTATCTACGTGTTGGTTGCTGTATCAATAACATGTGGTAAGATAAGTTGCTACTGTAAATAAAAACAACAACAACAAGAATCAAAACAATTTCCAAGTGTATTGGAAAACAAATCCTGTTTTTTAATAACACAATTATGTCTGTTACATAAAGTAAAAACAAAAATGAGACCCCTTTTTCCATCCCTATCAAACCCACCCTCATCCCGACCATCTCGGCAGTTTTGTGCAGCGATTCAGTCTGGGAATAAAAAGAGCATGACAACACAGACAAACACTTTCCTTTGAGGACCCAGAGACAAGAGGACAACCACTGCGCCTTACATCAGACCAGAGTGAATATAAACATAGTCTATGAGATTTAAAATCAAAGCAAAGGTAAACTGTATGAGATTACCATAAACCTTATCAGGAGTACAAACATATCTTATCTGTACTTTCCACATCCTACTATAGGCTCCTAGAAACCTCAAAATGATTGCTAGGTGATGAACAAGATGGCTTTCTTTCAGTTCCCCCTGATATATCCAGGCACAGTGCTTTCAGCTTGAAATAAGCATCAACATGCTGTGTTAGTGTTCCTTGAACATGCTGCAATGATCAATGCCTGAGGTCATTCAAAGACAGCACCTCAAACTTTTTTTTAAGGTCTTCTTTAGCTGATAAGACAGTCAGTGGGGATTCAGGCAGCCTGCAGAGAGATGGGTAACTGCTACTGGGACAAAAAAAAAAAAAAAGGAAATAAAGACACACAATACCATGCTCAACCCTGGACGTAGCCAAAAGTTTTCTCAGCATTGAAATGCAGGAGCAGTGTGGTGGAGCGCAAAGACGATGGCATAAAATTGACGCCTTCCAGCTGCAAAACAGACTGATTGTACATATTGCAACATAAAAAAAAAAAAAAACATTGATAGGGGTGGATTCTTTTGTGTCTGTCGCAAAAAAAAAAAAATTAGTGTTTTCTAGAAGAGCAGCGCTGACATGCTGCCAACTTCACTCTGCTCCTTCACGAAGATCTCGAAGTACTGGTAGATGATGGTCACAGCCAGCAGGATTCCTGTACCTGAGCCGATGGCACCCAGGAAGTCTGCCATGACTGAGAGCCCTCCTATACAGAGCCCACCAAATGCAGCAGCTGTGGGGATGTACCTGCAGATAGAAATTGGACAGAAATAAAGACTTAAATATTCTGCAAACATTAAACCTAAGAGCACATTTCCAAGTCTTTTTTTGTGTGTACCTGTTAAGTTCGTGCACCATGGAGGTCTCTCTGTGTCCTCTCATTACCATCTGCTGCTCCTTGAGCTGCTTCGCCACCTGAGATGCACAAAATAAAAATCGGTGGACATATTTAATACATGACTCTAACATAATGAAAACCCTACATGTTTGCACGAAGACACACTTACATCTTTGGCAGAGGATCCTGAGACCTCGATCCAGGTCTTGGAGAAGAAGGCACAGGAGCCGAGCATGAACACAATGTAGATGACGGCGTGAACGGGGTCGTCTAGAACCGAACCAAATGATTCAGGTGGAGAAAGGTAGTAGCACAGACCGCCCACTGGGTAGGCACGAGCTGGTCCTCCACTCGAAGTGTCCTAAACACAAATATTGTATTTGTACTGAATAGGGTGGAGATGAGCCATGGCTCCTCTTAATAAAGCAACATTTAAGTCGCCTGCTTCATATCTATGCTGCCATGACTTGGACTAAATGTACTTACAGACCAGGTTCCCAGGAGGTTGACCAGGAAGTTGCCACTGAAACGTGTTGAGAGCATCTGAGAAATCACATACAGATTGGAGACCAGGGCAGACTGGAGGATGATGGGGATGTTGGAGGTGTAGAACAATTTAATGGGGTAGGTGTTGTATTGGCCACGGTAGCGTGCTGACTTGATGGGCAGGTCAACCCTGAAGCCCTGATGAAGAAACATTTGATTTAATATAATGCATATTCCTCAGAGTCGAATAAAAATCTGGTGAGTTAAACAGTAAGTCACCTGGAAGTATATGACCACTGCAAACACAAAGACAGTGGCGATGAGGTTCATGAGGTTGGGCAGGTTCTGCCTGTAGAAGGCTTCTCTTAGAGCACGCACTTTGTCTGTACGGGTGGCCAGCAGATGGAAAAGAGCGATGATGGCTCCCTCAAACTCCGTACCTGGGAAAGACCCACAGATTAAGTGAGTATAATATAGATACACTGAAACACCTCGCTCTGCAATCACTCAGCTTTAAAGCCTTTTGTTTCTTAGTGCCAATACCTCTGCCAGTGTTGACAGTCGTGGGGCTGAAGGCCTTCCAGACGATGGTCTCACAGATATTGGTTGCAATGAAGAGAGAAATACCAGACCCCAGGCCATAACCCTTCTGCAGCAGCTCGTCCAGTAGTAAGACAATCAGACCTGCAACAAAGAGCTGGAGACAAAGGCAGGAGTTTAACGCTCTTCTTGACAAATGCTCATTTTGTAGGTAGGTTAAAAAGTTTAAATCATTTTTTTCATATGGTGTTAGCAGTTGTAATTTATATTAACCTGGATGATGATGAGCAAGCATATCCCAGCACCCATCTCTGAAGGATCTCCATACATGCCAGTCATGACATACACAATAGCCTGTCCAATGGTGATGATCATTCCAAACACTGCAAAAGTACATCAAAAAATGTGAAACAGGCACAACTGACACAACTGAAATGAGAGCTGTTATGAAAGTGCAAGCATCAGAGTATCAAAGACATCTTTAAAGCTTCAAAAAGGTACGTGACAGCTTCTGAAAATAGCAACTGTCTGATGAGTAATAATAACACCTACATTTCTGAGCTCCGTTGAAGAGGGCTCTGTCCTTAGGAGTGTCTCCCACCTCAATGATCTTGGCACCAGCCAGCAGCTGCATAATGAGGCCTGAGGTGACAATGGGTGAGATACCCAGCTCCATCAGAGTACCTGAAGAACACAGTCAGCGTCACAAACACAAAACAACTTTTGACCTTTGACTTACGACACGTGATAAAAGATTACGTCCTGCATGACAAGACAGTGGGATTAGATTATTTATCCTTGGCAAAGTCACAAAGAACGCAAAATGCAAAGTTCTTTTGAAACCAATTAAATATAATTAAACACCTCGGTTGGAGGCCAGGATTACTCTCATCCAGTAGAAGGGATCTGCTGAATCTGATGACATGATGCCAAAGAGTGGGATCTGCAAGAACAAAAAAAAGAGAAAAAAATTATGCAACAAAGCACTATGACCAAAAGCACAACCAGTAGGAAGGCTGTCACTGACAGATACCAACCTGGCAGCACACCAAAAAGATGAATAATGTGATGGCGGTCCATAGCACTTTTTCTCTAAACTGAATCTGCAAGGTTTAAAAAAAAAAAAAAATTAAAAAAAGAGGAAAAACAGAGGAGATGATAAGCTGTTGTTCGCATTCATTCATGGTGTAAATCATCACCACTGTGTACTAATGTACTAAACTAAAGCTCAAAGCTTACCTTTCTTTCTGGTTTCTGAATTTCTGGCAGGACTGCACAGAACGGCTTGATGACCTCCAAAAATTTGACTAAAAAGAGAATGACGAGTTAAGAAATGTATATGCATTTACACCATACAACACATCAAGCAGTTTTACAATGAGCATCGACAACATCTGAGCTTTTGTTCCTCTTTAGCCAGATCTACTTTGATGCTACGTCATCACTAACCAGCAGCTAAACAGCTGGCAGCAAAACCAAACAAGCCAGTCTCGTCATCATGCTAAAATGCAACAACGAGGATATAGAAAGGTAAGCACAGCTGGGAGTTACTAATATTAGGTGTGTGCTCACTTTTAGACCGCTTACGGTGGAGCTGCCTAATGTTTTGTCACCTTGATCCGATCTATTAATCAATGAAACTGACTATGACAGAAAGTGATTTCACACACGCTTCGGTTCTTTCTTTTTTTTGCTCCCCAGCCGCACAGAAAGTCAAACTGGACTTAAAAGCCAGTTACATTATAAAAGTGAAGGGAAAGTAAAGACCTCTGTGCTGTACATGGTTAGTTCATTTAGCGTGATGCTAACTGGCGTTCAATCACAGAACAAGTTATCCATCATTTTCTAAGATGAAGAGTTGACACACAGCTCAAAGAGACACACAAGAGGCATCCCAGCGTGATATAAATCACTACAATGGTACTTAATCCAATCGAAAAATAACTAGGCTGTGAACCTTCTCCCGTTATGAGCTAGCTCCAAGTGCCACATAACCTGGCCAAGGTTAGCCAATTAGCTTCTCCGACGAGCGCCGAGTGCCCTTTAATGTTCGAGATTTTAAAAAGGAAAAATATAGCAGGTATTTTAGGGCACCAAAAACAAGCATATACACAAGAAAACATAACACGTACTTCCCATGGTGTCCTTAGTCCGACTCCTGCCGTGTTACTGGTATCCGTTTGAGTGCTGTGCAATTTCAGTGTGGCTCCATCAGCCGCTCCGTGAGAAAAGAGCGAGCCGTAGAGACACGTCACCAGACAAGCCGCTACCCCACGTCACTGCTCCGAGCCCAGCAGAGCCGACACGAAGCCCGCTGCAGGCCGTCCACAGCTCGGTCTGTGAAGACACGTTGCCAGAGCTGATAAACCAACAATATTAACTCGGAAAATGCGTGATTTTAATTTTTTAACATTTATATTCTAGCAGCTATATCACAAAGTCCTCCTACCCTACAGGGGGCGCCCCAACCTCCAGCGAGCGTCATTTCCTTCTTCGGTTGAGAAGACGACAAGCTGAAAGGTGCTTTGCTGCCCTCATTGGTTTCCACCAATAAATGTAGTTTCCACATAAGTTTTACTATCAGTAGTGCTCGACGTGTGTTTCCGTGCTGACGGCATTAAAAACATATTTGTATTTACCTCTTATATCGATGCCTCATAATTACAGAAATAAATCCTCCTGGTTACCCTGAACTTCTAGAAGCACACAGACCCCCAAATAGCCCCACCCCAGTGTTGCCCAGCTTAGGTATTTGAGAAGATATTTAAGAAGATGTTCTCCTGGTAGATTTGGTATGGCCCCACTTTCCCTATTCTTCAGTATAATTAGATTTCAAAAAAGTACACATTGCTTCAGTTTTAAGCTTTTATGCATAATAATAGACACAATAAAATCATCACCTGGTTGGTCCTTGGCAGGCGTTAAATAAACTCAGTCTCAGACAAACAACAAAACATTGCATCTTATGCCATTTCATTAGTCATTTTGTAAAAATGAATCTAAAGTTCAGAAACAGTGTGTGACAAACTAACTGCACTCTTACTGCTTAGTGCTAGGAATAGAGGGTAAGTAGCAGCCAGCGATTAACAATCAAATCAGCTGACTAATCTGATTATCATTTAATAATTATTTGAACAACAAATGTGAGAACATCTATAAATACATGATGTGTATAATTATAGAAAAAGTTCTGGTTGTACATTGCCTAAACCTAAATTTCCATCGATCACGAGAATCATGAACATTTCCGTCATTTCCTAGGGGCTTGTGTTTGACATCCCTGCTTTAAAATATCAGTTCTCACCACTAGAGCTCAGTGTTGCTATAGCCTTGATGTAAAGTGTGTGTGTGTGTGTGTGTGGTTCATGATTTTTTTTAAAATTCACTGTTGATTGAGTATTTAAACAACCTCCACACATAAATCCATTGATTTAGGGCTGAATTTCTGTGCGAATGTCATCACTTTGTTATACTTTGTGAAGTCTTCATTGGTATTTAATGGTGACGAGCACTGACCTGTAGATTCAAATAACAGCACAATGTCAACTGAATCTTTCAGCCGGCTGTCCGTCTGATCAGTCAGACTCTGTGGACCTGCTATAAACAATAACTTGATTTGTTTTTCAGCAGGAAATATACACACACACACACACACACACACACACACACACACACACACACACACACACACACACACACACAGTGGAGGGTGGCTGGGAGCCTGCTCATCTGCCCTAAGATAAAGAGATATTTGTTCATGTGGTTACATAATGACCGCAGAGCTGTGAGCTAACAGTGAGGTGAGGACAAGCAAATTCCACACAGCCTCCCACCAGTCTCTGGTTTTCCCACTACTTTGAATTCTATTAAAATCCAAATTACATTTTTTCCTGCCAGTCATGTGGAAACTTTGATCTACTAGATACAAGTTATTACAAGTATGTGTGCATATATTTTTTGTATTACATGGAGTTTTTTCCTATAGAAAACAACTGAATCAAAAATTCATGGAAAACAGCAGTCTAAAGACGCAATAGGAAAATTTCAAGCAAATGAAACTATAATGTCAGTCAGTAAAGGTGCGCTTCCATGGAGGATACGGTGGCTGTCTGCAGCCTTCAATTATGTATTACATGAAACCTCAAGCCACAGCAGAGAGACTCTTCCCACTGTTTTGCATTTTAAATTTGCATCTTGGCAGAGGCTCAGGTGCTCAAAGTCAAACCTATCCTCTGGGCTGGACCCAGGAGTTGGTGAAAGTAAATCTGACGAGATTTCCTCTTTGGCTAAAAGCAAAAATCTCCCAGAAGGGCAAACAGTGCCTTGTTGAACTATGTTTTAATGCTTACAAATGAGACCTCACAAATTTCACATTAACTGACTTTTTAAATTCTGTAACAGAAATAACTATAAAGTAAATATTAAAGCCTGTCAGTGTAGTCAAACAAATTACAAGTGATTAAACTTTATAAAACAGATAAATATGAGTTCAAGCTGAGATGTATGATAATTATTTCTAATGAAACCAAAAAAGACTTTGCTGCACTTTTTTCTGGCAAAAAGAAAAATTTGGAATCAAGACTGTTCTTTGGTAACAAAATTATTTTGGTGGCCTAAAATGCAATACACCTCATGATGCACAGGACTTTTATCATATAGACAGGCCTATTAAAAGTATAGGGATATTAGATCATTTTAGGAAAACCTAAGATAACGCAATGGATAAACTACCACTGCTTTTTTTGTTTCATTTAAAAACATTTTAAATGAAACTTGGAAGTGAAACTTGCTTTTGCTGTAAGGCATAAAAAATGTAAACAATTTCTTTCAATGAAAAGAATAAAAATACAAAAATAAACATTTTCTGGCATTTCTTTTGCTAACAATAATTAAAATGGTGCTTACAGTATTGTGCAAAAGTCTTGAGTCACTCCTCGTGTCTTCATATTTTGCTAGAGGAATGTGAGGTGCAGTGAAATGTGAGTTTGTACAGTCCAATGTTTGGAACGACCACATTTATTCTTCAACACAGCTTGAACTCTCTTGGTCATTTCTCTAAGTAGTAATAGTTCTCCACGGTCCTTGGAAAACACTCAAAGCTCTTCTTTAGATGTTGGCTGATTTTTGCTCTGTTCTCTATTAAGATGACCTCACACTGTTTCAGTAATGTTAAGGCCCAGGCTCTGGGTGTCATGGTCTGTGGTGGGTGGCAGGAATTTCCATAAGGCTCCTGAACTTACCTGGGATCCGCCCCTGGGCAGGGCCAACTCCTCCAGCTCCTGCACACCTGGAGCCTATTGCAGGCAATCAAGCCAGAGGGATTTAAGCCACACATTGATGTTCATTCACTGCCAGTTCGTCAGCAACCCATGTTGTTAACAGGCCTTATGCTTCAAGTTCTTGCGGTGTTTTAGCTTGCTAGCAAGACTTTCTTGTGCTGCAGTTGCTGGATTCACCTTGGCTCACGCTCTACCTCCGGACTCAGAATACCAAGCAAACATTCTGACTCAGGTCACCCTTGCCACGCCACTCACCCCCCCTCAACACTCTATGTCCCCTACTGCAAGTAAGAATTGCTACTCTTACAACTTACCGCTTCAGAGCTACCTCCATTACCTCCCTAACTCCACTGTCTTCTCTCTTCAGTGTGACTGTTCCCTGCTCAGCTCCACTCTGCATCTCAGGCCCCGTTCCCTCGCCACATTTCCCAGGCCACGCCACGTTAAACTCCACGTCTTATTGGTTTTTTGTCCTTGCTACGTTTCTTGCACTTAAGCCTAATAAATCATTGTTACATCATCTGCTGTCTCTGCTCTGGGTTTCTGCACCTGAGTCCTGTTCAGTACAGACCACTTGGGGAGGTCAATACATGGGATACATGGCTCCTTTGAAGCAAAATATAAAGAAATGAAGGGTGGCTCAATACTTTTGCGCAATACTGTAAGGAGAATTTTAATTGTCTGCACATTATGTCTTACCTATGTTTAAAATAGCAGTTTTGCAAATATCAAAATCTTCATGACATAAAATAACTGAAGTCTTTGAGCTCTTCTTCAGGCTGACTTTGAACACTTCATCTGGTACAGAAAAACATCATCCATCACCATGTTTAATCAGCCAGTATGGATATTTGACCAATATGAGAAACCCACTTACTGCCAAGTAAGGCCTTAGAAGTCCTACCTGATTTCTCAGCTAATAACTGTCCAACGACGTTACTGGCTTTCTACAGCTGGTAAACATGCTGTAATTAAATTCATTCATTTGGATATCAGTTAATTGTTTCTTGATGAAAAGCAGCAACACTCCCTCTTCAGTCGCAGGGCAAAAAAGAGACTTAACAAAAAAAAGCCATTAATTAGTTTAACTTTCCCTTCACATACTGCTGCGGTTGTAAAGTACATCACGTATCATCATATCCATGATTTCTGACCTCAGTTTCAGAATAAATTACACCCTGGTGTATTCACCTACATATAAGCAGACACATATGCCTCCACATAGTGATGTCGTCTAGGGTGACACAGACGTGCAGCCCGACTGAGCAGTGGGAGGCCAGTCGGGTAGTTTGCGTCTGTTCCAGATGACTCACAGATTTTTATCCTTATTTTTAGAGATGTGTGAATGTAAACAGTGAATTGTGCCCAAGGGCGTGGAGGCATGTGTGAGCCTTTACTCAGTCAGTGGGCAGCTGTCCTCAGCAAATCAGGGAGGTTTGGGTAATAAAATTGCATTAAAGATGCTGGGAGTGGAATGAAACCAGTAGAATAAAAGGCAGTGATGTCCAGTCAACCCAGTTGACAATAGTTTGTGCTCCGCAGTCTTGTTTAATCATGACTTTATAGATACTCCCGAATTAACACCTCAGTGCCCAGTGCTATTTAGGTTATTATATATATTGGTGTTATATAAACCCGCCACTGAGGATAGAGCACATCGAAGCATAGTTAGAAAGAGAAAGAAATGGGATGTAGCCTTGGCTGTCGTACCTGAATTCTCACTTTATAACACCATGTCTGGTGTCTATCTGTAAAACAACAGGAGGCCATGAACTCGCTTTGGCAGTCACCTATGACCGTAAAGCCTTCCAAACAATGGTTTTATGTATTCACAGTATTTATCTAATTTCCAACTAAAGCCTAAACTGATGTAATCCATGACTAATCCTATAGAGGCCTAGCGGAGTAGTACTAATCCAGTGACACCCAAAGTCTGGTTTAAGAGGTCAGAAAGTCTTCCTATTGATTCGACCTTCATGGGTTAGCTTGCACAAATAGTTTGTTTA